GACATCTCATTTCCTGTGCCGTATTTGGTTTGAGTTCTTCAGGCAGCCGAYAATGCCATGAACAAGAGCAGCTGTGGTTTCCTGTTAGTTCTGGCCACTAGCTCGCATGTCACCACGCGAGCAGGGGAATGACTGATCTGACCAGCAACAGCACTTCAGCTTCCCGAGCATCACTCCAGTATTAGAAATACTCAGGTTGGATCATAAGGAGCTTTGCAACTTCACGATTTTCAACACAAAAATGCATCATATTGCTGAGTTCCCAAAGAATTAAATTGCAGAAAATGGAATCTTTAAAACCTGGACTTGGGTGCTGGAACCAGTACAGTGCCACATGTACCACTTAAATGGATGCATTCAGGACCATGCATTCTTAAAGCACAGATGAAAAAAAGAAAGAGTCACCATTTCCTCGAGTTGCACTCATTTGCAATGTTTAGAACAATTAAAGATTCTTTTCTGAAACAATGAGAGAAATGGTGCAAGACAGACAGAACTGTTATTTCTGGTTTCCTTCAATGACAAGATAGAAGTTAAGCTGAAAACAAAGCATGTTTCAAGTACTTAGTGCCAGTTTTCCTGAAAAGCACTTCTCTTCACCCAATGAAGTGAATCATATGCAGTATTGTGTAGTGACAACTGTGTCCAACACAATCAAGTTAATGTTTCTAAATCTATTTTTAAGGAAGAGAAGAAAGTAGGATGAGTAAGTCAATGTAGAACTTCCTATTTATATTAACAATACATTAGATTTTTCAAAATAGGGTATTAGAGGTAGGAATATGGTATTATTTACTTTTTAAACTTGTGTACTTTACTTGTAAAACATGACAGTCAAGTTTCCCACCATGGTATGACCATGACCCACGCAAAAATTGAAGACTAATTTTGAATCTGTCCTCATTCAGACCAGCCCACACGGTCTGCCCTTCCACTTCTGTACCAGGACACAGCCCTTCACTCCAAACACTTTTTTTCCAGCCCTGCTGACATTCCCTCTGCTGAGTTCTTTTTACTCGCAGCATCAGAAGAGTTAATACTGAAACACTAAGTCAACCAGTAGCAGAGTTCCCCCTCCTCGGTGGGTGTCATTCCCATGCAAGTTGCTCCATAAAGATCAGCCTCACACTCAGTTTGGCACTGACTGGATTCGGGCCTCTCTATCACACAGGAATCTTAGTCTAGGGGAGAATCAGCAGGCAGAAAAAAGTGAAGGTGATGTTGGAGTCACCTATARCAAAAGGAAACACATCCTTACTGTCGACATGTTAAGCTACAAAAACACAGTAGAATTAGTAGAGTATTGCTCAGCATTCAGAAATATTRAAATATTTCTTTGGTCTATGTTTCCTAGAGTAATTGAGCTGTCTTTAGGTTTATGGCATTTAAACCAAAAAATTCTTCTACAGTATAAATTCTTGGTGGCTAAAACTGTAAATGACCTTGCAAACCAAAACATACACAGAAGTACTAATGAAGTATTTAACTATAGATGTAAAGGGACAACCTTGAGGGCCTGAGGCCTGAAAAACATTTATTTCTCTGAATCATATAATTAAACCATACTTTGGCCTTTTGCTTAATCAGTACACAGAACAGTACTTCATACTGTTAAAAGAGTGTCCCTCATGGTTCAGCTTTTATTAATAATACCTGGACATATCAAGCACTTTTTCTTTAACTGCAGTTAAAGATGTAAAGTCAAGTTTGATTATATTGATATCATGTTTAAAACTTATGAAATGCCCRTGTAATAAGAGTTTTAAGTAGAATGTTCCTTAGAACCGTGGGAGATGACCAAGCATACCCACTTGTACATTATAACCTACCAGAATGAAGGGTTCTCTCTTACTTTTCTTTTTCTAATCAAATATTTTACTTTTCAATAAGTGCAAAGTTAAAGTTCATAATTGTGCCACTGGATAGATCCAGGACCCATGTTCCACCTATTGCTCTGAAAGTCTTTCTTATAATGTTAACTCATGGCCTTCTTTTAAAAGATAAACATGTGCTCTTTGCTGCTGCAAATTCCTTACATCAGATTCCGGACTACACAAGGTCTGRGACAGTCATTTCAGAAAGCTGTCTCATTTCACAATATTATAATGTTTGAACTATATTGTGTTTTTTTTTTTTTTTTCCTGCAGAATCTAGTAAGATTCTAGTTTAAAGATCACTTTTGGACAAAGCTCAAGCTGGTGCATTCAGGAAGAATCAGGTATACCACAAACATTAAAATACCTTTACCATCCTTTCTCTTTGTGGTTTAAGTAGTTATTTTTCTCCCTTATTTTTTCATAACAGGTTTCAAGCATTCCAGCTGTTTACTGAACACATACCATATCACATCCCATTTAAATTTACAGCAAAGCCAGATCTGTCATCTGATAGTGGGCCAATTCCTAAAGAGCATTAGAAGGTGAAATCCATTAATGAGCACTACACTTTATAACAGCCTGGAAAAGGAAACAGCATTTGCAAGTCCTTCCCCAACCCCACGGCAGGAGGGAAACYGCACGGGAAGAAAAGGACAAAGTCTTATTTCTTCAGCTGACAAATCCAACTGCCCACAAACTTTCAGCACTAACACGGCCATTCTGTCCTTACCCATGCTAGGCAGAGAAGACTGCAACCCAGAGTCCCATATTATTTACTTACTTTCTATGTTTTAAAATTTGTGTTTTAGATGTCTAGGTGCATGCAAGCAAAACACCCTCAAGTCCATCAGATGGAGGAAAGTCTTGGGCTACTGTAGTCTACCAGGGCTGCTAATAACTAACTTTTAGTGTGTTTCCTAGAGTCTTAATACAGACAGATGTGCATGTGAAATGAAGACTAAAATCAAGAATTTCTCTCTAGGATTTAGGAACTAACAAAACAGAAGGTATCTCATCACTGTTTTTTTTTTCTGTTACTGATGTTCATGTCTAGAAAATGAATCTTCCATTTCTGAAGAACAGGGACATGAAAAACTAGCAGTTTCTCAGTGCTTGACATAATCTTTTTAGTGCATTTGCTGTTGAGCTGTATTTTAATATGTAGCTGTGGCTCTGAAGAGTAAAAGCAGCCGTACAGAAAAGGACTTTGCAGGCAGCAGAAAAAACAACTCGACCTGAGCAGCCCCAAGAAGCAGTGCAGGAGTCACCAGCCTTATCAAGGAAGCAGTGCAGGAGTCACCAGCCTTTTCAAGGAAGCAGTGCAGGAGTCACCAGCCTTTTCAAGGAAGTCAGAGCAGCAGCTGAGCCCCATGGAGCGCTTGCCCCGAGCCCCACGGCGCGCTTGCCCCGAGCCCTGCACATGCAGGGCCTGCTCCGTGCAGACCAGGCTGCAGCTATGACTAAGTCAGCGGTTGGGAAACTCCTGCTTCAGGCAACCACCGGGAGTTATTTTGAGAGCCAACCCCCACGTTGTTTTGAACTGTTTTTGTGCTCCCCGCTACACAACACGGTCTGGTAGGGATGGAAACCTCACCAGCAGCACTCCCCATTTGTGCCCGAAAGAGAAAGTTCCGTGTARCACAACCCGGCCGCACTCTCCACAGCCGGGCTGCCTGTCAAAAACATATTTACCAAAAACCTTCCCCCTCTGCTCCACGGCTCATCGGCCCCACACAGCACAAACTGCACAGAAAACGTTTTCACGCGGAGTTTCCCCCGGCTGAAAAGAGGGCTGCTGGAGGCCTGGGAAACCTCCTGCGTGCTGTACCTCTGGAACAGCCCTGGATCGGGATGACACCTAGGCGCCCCGGGCCGCCGCTGACACGCAGCGCTGCCCGTCAGGGCGCCCGGGCCGCGCGTTTGCGGCCGGGGGGGGG